CTAGAGTCCTGTTCACAACATAGCAGTTTGCTTCTTCAACGCCAGCAGGAGAATTTCTAATGAAAGAAATCAGTTTCTTTTAAGAGTTTTCTCTGATTAAGTCAGTTCTATCCAGGATGATCTTCCTATGATTAAGTAAAAAAATAAAAAAAGTCAGCTGATTTGGGGCCATAATGAAATCTTTAAAATCTCTTCATCTTTGTCATATAATATATGACAGTTAGTGGAATGAAATCCATCATAGTTACAGTCCTGCTCACAATTAGGTTCTGTACATGTGATATAGACCATGTACAGCAGGAGATGGGAATCTTGGGGATGATTTTAGGATTAGGAAACAAGGCAAGAGTGAATATGGAAAGATGAATTTGGAGGCTGTATTAGTACTGAGGAGAAAGGTGTTTGCTGCTTTGTCTAGAATGGTAAGATACTTGTAGGGAGATATCATTATAGTTAAAACGAAAGAAATTTAGATGGTGAAACCAACAGGATCTGTCAATGATTTGCTAAATGGGAGGCAAGGAGGAAGAAATAATGTCAAGGATGAATCCTAATTTTCTGGTTCACACAACTATAAGAATATTGGTATTATTCAGTGAGATAGGAAACACTAAATGAGATCTTGTTTGTGTGGGAAAATATTAATTGATATTGGGCTTATTGAGATTAAGCTGTGATAGGCAGGACTGCATTTCAAAAAATAGGGGCTGAAAATATAATATTGGGAGTTGTGGGGTTAATAAGTATTGGTATACTTTGATAAATCTGGACTCTAACTACATTTTATGAAAATAGTATCTAACTCTAAACCATAAATAAGTGGGTCTTAGTTTTTAATTTAATATGAAGGTCAGTCTTTTAACTAAAAAATTAACCCATTTATATTTAATGGGTTGAAATAACCAACATTTTGTCTTCTTCTCTCTTTTTTTGTATCTTGCTTGTTCATTTAGATTTAAAATGTTTTACTTTTGCTGAATATGATCAGATTATCTTTATTCTCTTTTCTCCCTCTGGGAAAAATAGAATGGCAATTCTTTCTAGATATTCTATTGTGATTTTATTGGTATTTTAAAAATACTTTGTTGATAACTTGCATAAGTATAGAATTCTAGGGACACATTCCTTTTTCTCTGAGAACTTGTAAATATTTTCCAATTATTTTCAAGTTGATAATGTTAAAGATAGAGAATTTGATACCTGTCTTCTCTTTGGTAGTGGTTTTTAGGTAGCAGTAATATTTTTGGCTAGAACTTGAAGCTTTCTTTTTTTTTTTTTAACTGAAATTCAGAAATTCAGTCATCATCTGTATGATATCTATTTTGCAAATGTGTAAGCTGTAGCCTAAGAATTTAAATAATTTGACTAAAGTCACACAACTAGAATAAGTAGAGAATTTGGTATTGGAAGGTAGTCCAGCTATTAATCATTACTCTTTACTTCCTCTAAACTTCAAAACTGAAAATAAATGTGTACCTGAACATACAATCTTCAAAATAAGTCCCTAGGTGATAACTATATAAATAATTATATTCTAAGTGCTAAGACTCAAGATTATCTAAGACATATGTCCCCCTCTTTAGGTTGTAGTACTTTTTTTTATTTTGAAAAAAACATGTTTTTATTGATTTTTTTTTTTTTTGAGAGAGGAGGGGACAGGGATAGATAAATAGAAGCATTGATGAGAGAGAAGCGTCATCAATTGGTTGTCTCCTGTACACCCCATACTGGGGATGGAGCCCGCAACCTGGACTTGAACCAGTCACCTCTTGGTTCATGGGTTGATACTCAACCACTGAGCCACACTGGCTGGGTGGTTGTAGTACTTTTAAAATGTTGAATTTTCTTTAACTAGTAGAATTTGTGTTTTAGAACAATTTCAGATTTACAGAAAAATTGAGCAGTTAGTCCAGAGTTTCCATAAACTGGGAAAAGTTTGAAATGAGGGAAAAATAAATTGCATAACTTCGTAATGAAAGAATTGTTACTCTGTGTAGGGATGGAGAAATTCTAGAAGCTACTCTTGATGACAAGCTGAAGATAACCAGGAATGTAGCTGTAGTAATATTATGGTTATGTTTTAAGAATCTGACTGGGATTCTGCACATAATTGATGGCCTTTTTGCTAACAGATTTATTGCTTTGCTTGGAATACTCTTCCTCACTTTAGATGGCAAGGTCATTTGTTTGTAAACTTCCTGTTATACCTTGTTTACCAGGTGAAAAAAAAAATATACACACACACACACATATACACATACACATACATTAATTTTCAGTAAAACTATTTTGAACTGAATAACCTTCATTTTTCCTTATTTTTCAAGACAGTTTTAGCCTAGATTCTTTGAGTTGGACTAAATCAATGAATGTATATAGAAAACTTATAGCTTATTATAATTAGAGGTATTTATATTGAGAGAAAAGTTAATTTTGAATTCATGCTAGTAAACTTTTTTCTTTAATGAGAGCAAAACACACTTTGTTATAATATCTTAGTTAGATTATTGCTAATTTCACTTGTATTCATAACCCTTTCTTTTTTTTTCAGGCTGTGACAGTGAGGAATTCCATGGCTAAGTCTTTATATAGTGCCCTATTTGACTGGATAGTTTTTCGGATTAATCATGCACTTCTGAATAGTAAAGATTTGGAGCAAAATACCAAGGTAGACATACATAAATTATATATTTTTACTAGAAAACGGTTTTAATAAAATGGTTAATACATTAAATTTAAAAAGACAGAGTTATGTAAAAGTCATAAGTAAGAGTCATCTTTTATCTCTATTCCCTGCTGTTTTCTTCCTTATTTCTGTTTTTATTATCCTGTGTAGAGGAGGTGTTAATCTGTGTCTTTTTTCTTATGTACTTACATTCCCATAAATGTGCATATAGAGTTGCTTTTAAACATAAAAATATAATTATGATATTGTCATTGTAAGAAATGTCCTAACCTGTTGTGGATTTCTATGAGCTAATTTGAGCCAAACTGACGATATATACTGGAGAGCAGCAGGATCTCAAGTACTGTGGAGAATAATATTTTTTGCAGTTTCTTTTATGCATTTGAAATTAGGAGGGAACTTAGGAAGATTACCTAAAGGTGGGAGGAGCCAACAGAATAGTTAAGATTATGTGCTCTCTTGAGAGTTAATACCACCTTCGAGGGTTATTGCTTCTGGTTTTTCAAAGGTGTGTTAACCTAGATGCACTGGAACAGTGGACATGGCTGGCTTAAAGCTTTGCACCAAAGAGGTTGTAGGCCTGGGACATGACTCCCCACAGTGAACTGCCTACCTAGGCATTTATGAGAAGATCACCGTGAGGTTACTTTCCACAGAACCCCCCATTGTGTCCACAGTCTCTATATTGGTCTGTGTGTATTTAAACCTAGTATGTCTTGAAATATAGCTGTACCTCATTGTTTTATTTTTATTTTTTTTAAATATATTTTTATTGATTTCAGAGAGGAAGGGAGAGGGAGAGAGAGATAGAAACATCAATGTTGAGAGGGAATCATTGATTGGCTGCCTTCTGCATGCTGGCCCGAGCCCACAACCCAGGCATGTGCCCTTGACCGAATTGAACCTGGGACCCTTCGGTCCGCAGACCGATGCTCTATCCACTGAGCCAAACCAGCCAGGGCCTCATTGTTTTATTTTAATTGAATTTATTATGGTGACATTGATTAATAAAATTATATAGGTTTCAGGTGTGCAATTCTATAATACATCCTCTGTATATTTATTCTGTTTACCACCACACATCAAGTCCCCTTCCATCACCATTTATCCCCCCCTTAAACCCTTTTTTACCTCCCCTATCCTCCTTTTTCTTTGGTAATCACCATAGTGTTGTCTGTAACTATGAATTGTTGTTTTGTTTTGTTTTTTATTAATCCCTTCACCTTTTTCACCTGGCCCCTAAACCCCCCTCCCTCTGACAGTTTTCAGTCTGTTCTCTGTACCAGTGTGTACCTCATTTTTATCAACTTTGTAATATATAAATTCCCCCATTAAAAATATATTACATTTTTTATTGTTAAATAATAATGTAACAAATATTCTTTGCATACATTTCTCTAGGACAAAATCCTCAAAATGAATTGCTGGATTCAAAGATATATATGTTTAAAATTTTGGTAGATGCTGCTAAATTGCTTTTCAAAAAAATACTACACTTCCACCAGTAGTGCATAAAAGTGCCTATTTCCCTGCTATACCTTTAGTCACATTGGATATTCTCAGAATTTCCATTAGGCTAATCTGACAAGGAAGATAGTTCATTTTGTTGTCAATGTTTATGATAGATGAACATTGAGCATCTCATGTTTTCTCTGTTTTATTTCTTTATATATTTTTCCTATTTTTGTTGTTCATTTTATCTTTTTGTTATTCCTTTTTAGGAGTCATTGTGTATATTGTAGAGATTTATAGTTTGACGTACATTGCAAACATTTTCTCTTTAAAGATTTGTTTATGTTGTGTTTTTTGAAGTCCTTATGTTTTAAATTTTTGTACAGTTCTGTCATTCTTTTCTTTTATTGTCCTGGACTTTATTTATTTATTAATTTATTTTACATTGGAAGTCCTCTTCCAGCCCAAATTATAAAATATTTATTCTCATACATTTAGAATATAATTTTTTATATTCAGACCTTTTTTCCAATTGGAATTTACTTTTAACATGGCAGATTTTTGATACTTAATTTTAATAACTTCAATTTCATTTCCTAACAACTTTTTTAAAAAATATATTTTATTGATTTTTTACAGAGAGGAAAGGAGAGGGATAGACAGAAACATCGATCAGCTGTCTCCTGCACACCCCCTCCTGGGGATGTGCCCACAGCCAAGGTACATGCCCTTGACCGGAATCGAACCTGGGACCCTTGAGTCCGCAGGCCGACGCTCTATCCACCAAACCAAACCGGTTAGGGCAACTTTTATGGAATGAATAGTCTACCTTTTCAGGCTGATTAGAAATGTCATCTTTAATCCTCCTTTTCCTGGGGGAGATCAGGTGTGTTGTCTCTGTCCCTATAATGTACTGAGGCAGAAGGACAGGGCACCAGCCCCCTTGGGGTCATGTCTTTGGTGCTGGTGGCTTCCAGTCTGCAGGTTCTATCCTTAAGCTCTGGGACACAGGGAAAAGATAAAAGAAATGTCATCTTTATTACTTAATTTGATTATTTTAAATGTAAAATTGCTTTTATATGAACTTTTCATGCTTTATGTGAGCCCACAGAATATTAATTTTAAATGTAATCCAACTTACCAAATTAACTTATTTTTGAAGGTCATTATTTTCATAAGGACTTAGAATTTAGTCAACAGAATTAATCAAACAAAATACTTTCATTTTGGGGGTTTGAGGGGACAGTAGGAAGTAGATCTGAATTTTATTGATTTAGGAACTTATGGAAAACAAAATACTCTTTTTTAAAAAAAATTTTTAAAAATATATTTTATTGATTTTTTTACAGAGAGAAAGGGAGAGGGATAGAGAGTTAGAAACATCGATGAGAGAGAAACATTGACTAGCTGCCTCCTGCACACTCCCTACTGGGGATGTGCCCGCAACCAAGGTACATGCCCTTGACCGGAATTGAACCTGGGACCTTTCAGTCTGCAGGCCAACGCTCTATCCACTGAGCCAAACCGGTTAGGGCAAACAAAATACTCTTAATGGAAACTTAAAAAATATCTCTCACTATCACTCATTACATCATTTTGCCTAGTATCTCTCTTAGCACCAGTGGAGAAAAATTATTTTCATTTAACCAAAATTGTCATACGACTATATTTCAAGAATGAGGTGGAGTGGTGAGAAGAATGTTGGTATGAGGGTATTAGAGTTAAATCCCTATCATCCATAGTAAGTAGTTAGAAGATAATTTCTACAAGTGAAATATCAAGAAATAGAAAAATAAGCACTTGTATACTATACTATACTATACTATACTATACTATACTATACTATACTATACTATTCCATACCAAACAGCTCAACAATTTGAGTGTTGTTGATATTAGGGTGCAGAAATTGAGGATGAAGAATATATTGTTTTTTTGTTATAATCCTTTTAGAACTATTTAACATTGTAATCCTTGTACAATGTTTTTTTTTAATCCTCACCCGAGGATATTTTTTCCATTGACTTTTAGAGAGAGTGGAAGGGAGAGGGAGAGACAGAGAGAAACATCGATTGGTTACTTCCCGCCCCTGTCTAGGGCCAGAAGTCTGCAACCGAGGTATGTGCCCTTGGCCGGAATCGAACCCGGGACCTTTCAGTCCGCATGCCGACGCTCTATCCACTGAGCCAAACTGGCTAGGGCCACAGTGTTTTTTGTTTTTTTTTTTTAAATAAAAAATTTTTAACTTCAAGAAACCACATATTCTGATATTCAGTTTTATTTCTAGCTTGCACAAGGCTGATTAAACATCCTTGTTAGCTTGGTTTTTAAAGTAGGATTCTATTGGAATATGGAAGTCAAAGTAGGAAAAACTGCATGGCCCTCTTGGTATAAAAACAAGGCATAGCCAGTAGTGACCTAGTAGTACTTAAGTAACTTTTTGAATTCCCATAGCCTGTTATTTCCATTCTCTTGTCTCTTGGAGTTGAGGAATTTCTGAGATTGAGATAACTGGCCAGTGTCCCTGCTTTGTACATTTCTATAGAATAATCAGTGGGTTACGTGTGTTAAAATTTTGGATTAAAAAAAATAATTAGGATAAAAAGAAAAAGATGAAACTAAAGAGAACTAAAATGCTTTTTACTTGTGGTATAATTTGGTTCAACATTGGCCCCCAAAACCTACTCTCCAGTGCTGAAAAAGAACTTTGAGCATTTTGTTTCTTACTGTAAATATTATTTATGAAATAAATTTGAGCATCATTTTTTCAACCATAATTTTTTTCCTGCTTTGTAGACTTTGTCAATTGGTGTTCTTGATATTTTTGGCTTTGAAGATTATGAAAATAATAGCTTTGAACAGTTCTGCATTAATTTTGCTAATGAACGTTTACAACACTACTTTAATCAGCATATCTTTAAACTGGAGCAGGTGAGTACCTAAGTGCATGTATGTTTGCCCCCCCGCCACTCCTTCATTCCCCACCTTCACATACACACATATAAATTTTTGATTCATAGTCATGGTAAGCATTTAAAAAAATATTTTTATCTATTTCAGAGAGGAAGGGAAAGAGAGAGAGAGAGAGAGAGAGAGAGAGAGAGAGAGAGAGAGAGAGAGAGAGAGAAACATACCAAAGATGAGAAAGAATCATTGATTGGCTGCCTCCTATAGGCCCCCCACACTGAGGATGGAGCCTGCAACCTGGGGGCATGTACCCTGACTAGGAATCGAACTGTGACCTCCTGATTCATAGGTTAACACTTGACCACTAAGCCACGATGGCTGGGCCATGATAAGCATTTTAAGTCTTATATTGCAATACAGATATTGAAGTCTTCATATTAATGTAAGCAAATGATATGTCAGACCATAGGTTTTTAGATATATCATACAGGGTTTTGTTGTTTTTTTAATAGGACCCAAGTAGATTCAGTACTATGCATTTGAGTGCACCTTTGAATGAAAATTGGGTGGGTTTGTTTTGAGTTTCTATCAGTGTTACTGATTTTTAATTAGTTCCATGGGCTTGGTCACATGCTAAGTATGCTTGTTTGATTGCTTTGGTCTCTTAGTTCCAGAATGGGATATAGGAGCTTATTAATGGGATCTCAAATCAACTCATAGTATGGCTATAGGAAACATGACAGTATAGAGAGAAAAAAATGGGTAACTAGATATTTTCTATGAAAAGCTCAAATTGACTTAGTGTAGGAAGAGTGAGCCATTAATTTCCATAAGAAATCTTAGGTTCAGTGCAGGGTCAAAGAAAATGTGGGGTCTTCCTCCAAGCCAAGTTTGAGGTCAGTAGCAAGTTGAGATTGTAGCATTTTTTTTTTCAGTTTATGTATGTGGACATAAGCAGAAGCAGGACTTACATTTGACTCAAGGGAAATGGTAAAGAAATGAAATGAACAACCCTGGCTGGGTAGCTCAGTTGGTTAGATTGTATCATCCCGATACACCAAGGTTTTGAGTTCATTCTCTCCCTCTCTCTCCCCACCCTCCCACTCTTCCTCTCCCTCTCTGTTTCTCCCTTCCTTCCTCCCTCTCTCATATTAATAATTTAAAAAAAATGAAATGAACAGAAAGACCACAACAGTCTATAAAACAGAAAAAAGAAAAGAAGATCTTTTTTATCATTGTTGCCCTCTATCCTACCTCTATTTTGCTTAAAGGGTTATAAGGACTGATTAACAGTTGCACAAGCAACATTGGTCTGGTCATTTTGAATGCTTGAAGTTCGTATACACATGACTTTTTAGCTAGACTCTTTGATAGAGCTATTAAAAGATAGTATTGACTGACAATGAGATGGCAGCATAGATAAATGCCTGTAGTCTCCACCTCCCACAACCACATCAAAATTACAACTAAAATACAGAATATCCATCATGCAGAACCTCTAGAAAGCTTGTTGAATGGAAGTTCTACGACTAGAGAAGTAAAGAAGAAAGCACACTGAGACTGATAAGAGGTGCAGAGGCACGGAATGGACTGGTACGGCACCAACATGTGCCACTTTTTTAATCTGTGGAGACCATCCAGAGGATCAAGGGGTCCCAGCTCCATACCAGACCCACAGCCCAGAGTCCCAGAGCTGGGAAAAGAAATCCCTATGGGCAGTAAGAACTACAGCTGTAAAAACCAGTGTGGATTGGGGCTCAGTGACACAGAGGCTGCTGGAGACCCAGCTGTTCCTCTTAAAAGTCCAGCACCACAAACTGAACTTACAAGGTCCCGCTTCCTCTGAGCTCTAGCACCAGAGTGAGGCTTTGAGGGACACAGACATATACGAGGAGGAACTGGATGGTCTCGCATGGGCAGGAACTCGAGGGTGGCTTTCTCCCAGATGGAGGTGCTCACAGGGATCATTGTTCCTATGCTGGGACCTCCCCTGTCCCAGGGCTGACTGGCAGCCATTTTTGTTTGCTCCACCCTGGTGATTCACTAAGACCCCACCTCATCCAATTTACAACCCCACCCAAGCTGTGTGCAGTGGCTATGAATGGCCTGTCCTTGCTCAGGCTAAAATCTCTCAAACAAACTGCAGCTGGGTCATGGAGCCCCAAACCTATCAATAAAAGGCCCAAGAGTTGACACCAGCACCGGTCTGCCTTGCTTCATAGCTGGGCCTCATCTGGGCAGTTCCAAACTGGATACAAAGGAGGGATCTGCAAATCTTTCTGTATGTCCTGCTGGGTGGCCCCAGGCAATGACTGACTTTGCACCTCCCTGGAGACCCAAGGGCCAGTGTACTATCCAGTGGTCAGTGTGAGACCATACCAGATTACAACTCTACACATCCATAAGTGACACACTCAAGGGGAAGACTCAGTGAGCACCAAAGCCCCATTGAAGCAAGTCTCCTGCACAGCAGCTCTCCCACTGTAGTCGCAGCTAGTCTTCATAGCCAATTGGCCTGGAGGTCAATTCCTACCAGTGACAACAACAGCAGTCAAGTCTCAACTACAACAAGACTGTGCTCACAGCCCATGAAGGGGTGCACCTACAGCTCCCAGCTCAGGTGACTGGGGAGGCTGAGCCACTGGGCCCTATAGAGCACTTACTATACAAAGCCACTCTACCAACTCAAGGAGATTTAGCAGCTCTACCCAATACATAGAAACAAACACAGGGAAGCAGATAAAATGCGGAGATAAATAAACATGTCACAAATGAGAGAAATGGAAGAAAGCAAACTATTGAATATGGAGTTTAAAACCACAGTTATAAGGTTATTCAAGAATCTTCTAGAAATCTCCAGAAGAATGGAAAAGGACCAATCAGAAATTAAGCATACACTGACTGAAATAAAGAATAATATACAGGGATTCAGCTGTAGAGTAGAGGATTCTGAGAATCAAATCAACGATTTGAAATATGAGGAAGCAAGAAATACCCATCCAGAAGAGCAAAAGAAAGAAGAATCCAAAAATATGAAGATAGTGTAAGGAGCCTCTGGGACAACTTCAAGTTACCAGCATTCACATTATGGGGGTGCCAGAAGA